CGTCGGTAATACCATCTATTTTTAACCCTATTTCAATAGTTACACGAGAGGTAGTAACTATACCAATATATCAAAGCCATAAACTCTTAAATCGGTTTTGAGTCGTGAGTATACACGAATTCAAGTTTCAGTAACCACTGACCTAGATTTGATGAACTTTTACATCTTTTTTTCTTTCTTTTCTTTTTTCAAAAAAAAAAGTTTCAGTAACCACGTTGAAGTTCATCAAATCTAGGTTAGTAAATTAAATTTGCTTTCAAATTTCTTAACACGTTTTACCCCAAAAAAAAAAAAATTTGCTTAATAAAAACAAAACTTTGGTTTCTTTTAGGTCTTCGGATCCAAAGCGAGTATTTCTATATAATTAATTAATAAATTTAGGTCTACGAGATTTTATTCTGCTCAGGATCCATAATGCCATGGTGGTCAACTTAGTTTGATTAGTTTTATGAAACAGTTTAGTTTAGAGTTGCTAATGTTGAAAAGCCAAACCTAATAAGTAAAAGATACATTTCAAAAGTCAAACTTACTACAAAAATATAAATATACACAATGGCTCGGGTAACATAAGAATTGAATTGATCAACCATCGAGGAGATAAAACCAAACTTTTGAAATCGAAATGTCAAATGTTTTTCAAGCGAACTTCTTAGCCAAATACAAAAGACGAGCACCGAGATCTAAAGGCCTAGAAATCATTACCATGTGATCAGAATCCTGAATATACTCCACGTGGTTAGGAGGGTTGTTCTTGATCATCCAAAGCTGAAACTCTTTCATCAACGATTTATCTTTCTCGGACACTACAAAGATCCGGTTTACCGACCCGTATCTCTTGGGTGTAAGCACAAGACTTCTGTCTATCTCTTCGTTGGTGAATAACCTTTGTGGCCGTACCAATAACCCCGCCAATTCCACGTCCTTCAGAAATTATACATGGTTTAAGCACAAGAGTTGTGTACTTTCCGATTTTATATGATTCATTTAATTTGTTGTTTACCTCTTTAGGACTAAGGTCATACATAGTTAATGAAATAAATAGTGGGCCTCCAATYGAAAGTGTAGGAGGTTTATCAGGCCCATCTCCAAATACTAACTTCAAGTCGAGTTGTGGAGCTTGCCATCTCACCAACTTACGTAAAGTTTAGAAATGTTGGGAGAAAATATCAGAAAAATGTAGCAAAATAAGCCAAGAAGACAGTCTTATTTGATCACGATCGTTATTATTCCTTGTACGTTGAAAAGTAAACAAAAAAGGTATGTAGATATACTAATAACATACCCCTTGAGAAACCGAAGTGAAATTGAAGGTCGGGCCAGGCATTAAGGCAGTCACGAAAATAGCCATATGAACCTTATCCGGAAACATCTCCATAGCCTTGGAGATAGCAAGCCCACCTAAACTATGTGCCACGAGAATCACCTTCTCACCATCGCATAGACTCTTCATTAGGCCCATTAATGGCTCAACATACTCCGCGACCGATCGTAGAGTCTCAGGCCGTTGTAGATCGATCCCGGACGCTGCTAAGTCCACTGCGGTTACGTTGTGGCCTTGAGATTTCAAGAATGGTATGAGTTTATACCAACACCAAGCCCCGTGGCCAGCCCCATGAACCAGCACGAAATGGACCCGGCCATATCGCGGTGGCCTTGGTGTGGCCGCGACAGGGCCATAGTATAGGCTGATCAATATAACAAGAATCGGAGTTAAGTATATGTTTGATTTGCTCTCCATTTTTTTTCAATCTATCAGGAAGATGTGATGAACGAATGTTGCCTTTACAATGAGGGATTATATATAGTAAAACTAAATAATGAGGTGTTGACATATTGAACAATTCTTGATGTTAATGTCACAAAAATATTATTTGATCAATTTTATAAGGGATTATAAAATAAATATAGTGTGCTAAATGAAATCATTTTCTTGGTTTGATCCTTGGAAAATTTCTTTTAGTTCTAAACTATTAAAAAAAGCTTTCTCTTAATGAGTTTTCTATCAATTTTTGTATTTTATTAATTTGTTCGTTTACTTTTATCCCATTTTGCAAAGGATTTTTTATTTTTTTTAGCGTTTCCAAGAGTTCAAAACGCAAACGCCAAATAAAAACATTTCCACAACACTAAGAAATCAATTTTACCTTTTACAGACTGTAAACTATTGGTCGTCAAGATTTCAAATATGGTAAAACAAACAAAACAGAACTTTTGAAGATGTTGTCATCGACCTCTAATCCTATATTACCTACAATAGTTTGCTATTTTAGTATCCATATAAACGTTTAGTCTATATAATTTTCGTTTTTTCCGAAAATAGGAAAGAAACCAATGGTTTCTGTTTGCCTTTCTTTCATTATAGGCTTTGTCTCCACAACATTCATCTATTAAGCAAGCCAATGAGCCATTTCCAAGGGTTTTCATCACCATGACCCGAAGAACAATGGAGAGGCCATTTGGCTGCTTCCTTCTTTTCTTCTTTATCATCTCTGTTCTCTTATATTCCGCAGCCGCTATCACCGATGAGGAAGCCTCGTTACTCACAAGACGCCAGCTCTTGGCGTTATCAGAAAATGGTGATCTTCCTGACGACATGGAGTACGAAGTCGATTTAGACCTCAAATTTGCTAATAACAGGCTTAAACGGGCTTACATTGCTCTTCAAGCTTGGAAAAAGGCATTTTACTCCGATCCGTTTAACACTGCGGGCAATTGGGTTGGTTCAAACGTGTGTTCTTACAAAGGCGTGTTCTGCGCGCCTGCGCTTGATGACCCGAGCATAATGGTTGTGGCGGGAATCGATCTGAACCATGCGGATATAGCCGGGTATTTGCCACCCGAGCTAGGTTTGTTGACTGATGTCGCCTTGTTTCACATTAATTCCAACAGATTTTGCGGAGTTATCCCCAAAAGCTTTTCGAAGCTGACATTAATGTACGAATTCGACGTGAGTAACAACCGTTTTGTCGGTCCGTTTCCCACGGTTTCCCTCTCTTGGCCATCTTTGAAGTTCCTTGACATAAGATACAACGACTTTGAAGGAAAATTGCCACCAGAGATCTTCGATAAGGATCTTGACGCCATTTTCTTGAACAACAACAGATTCGAGTCAATCATCCCCGAGACAATCGGTAAATCAACTGCTTCTGTCGTGACCTTTGCGCACAACAAATTCAGCGGTTGTATTCCGAAAACCATCGGTCAGATGAAGAACCTCAACGAGATTGTGTTTATTGGTAACAATCTAAGCGGTTGTTTCCCGAACGAGATCGGCAAGTTGAACAATGTGACTGTGTTTGATGCAAGTAAAAATGGGTTCGTTGGAAGTTTACCATCGAGCTTGTCCGGCTTAGCCAACGTGGAACAAATGGATTTCTCATACAATAAGCTCACCGGATTTGTCGCAGACAGTGTCTGCAAGTTACCCAAACTGTCGAACTTCACATTTTCTTACAATTTCTTCAATGGAGAGGCTCAGAGTTGTGTTCCCGGGAATAGCCAACAGACACAGTTTGACGACACTAACAATTGCTTACAGAACAGACCAAACCAGAAGTCGGCTAAAGAATGTCTGCCGGTGGTTAGTCGTCCTGTTGATTGTAGTAAGGACAAGTGTGCCGGTGGTGGCTCAAACCCATCACCAAAGCCAACACCTAACCCACCAAAGACACCAGAGCACAAACCGGAGATTAACCCACCAAAAATGGAAGAGCCATCCAAGCCAAAACCAGAGGAATCTCCCGAACCACAACAGCCTAGTCCAAAACCAGAGACACCAAAATCACCAGAGCCTTCTAAACCAAAAGAACCTAAGCCAGAGACACCAAAACAGGAATCTCATAAACCGGAATCACCAAAACAAGAACAGCCAAAACCCAAACTTGAGTCACCAAAACAAGAGTCGCCTAAGCAACAACCACCTAAACAAGAAGAATCTCCTAAACCGGAGACGCCAAAACCAGATGAGTCACCTAAGCCTGAAACACCAAAACAAGAACAACCACCAAAGACGGAGACACCGAAAATAGAATCACCGCCCGTTGAACCAGAGGATCCTTATGATGCATCTCCGGTTAAAAAACGTCGTCCTCAACCACCGTCGACAGAAGAAA